AAGCGGCGTTCGGATTTGGAGTTTCAGGTGGGCGATATGGTCCTCCTGAAAGTGTCACCCTGGAAGGGTGTTATCAGGTTTCGGAAACGGGGCAAGCTGGGCCCCCGGTTTATTGGCCCGTTTAGGGTTTTGGCCCGGGTGGGTCGGGTTTCCTATTGGTTAGAACTTCCAGCAGAGCTCAGCCAAATCCATAACACGTTCCATGTTTCTCAGTTGCGGAAGTGCTTAGTGGACGATTCAGCAGTGGTACCCTTTAAGGACATTCAGGTTGATGATAGCCTGAACTACATCGAGAGACCCGTGGCGATTTTAGATCGCAAGACGAAGGAGCTGAGAAACAAGAGATTGGAGTTAGTGAAGGTGTAGTGAGAACACCGCAAGGGTTCGGAGTGGACGTGGGAGTCCGAGGAGGAAATGAGGGAGCATTACCCAGAGTTGTTTTCAGAGACAATAGACTTCGAGGACGAAGTCTAAGGCAAGTGGGGGAGAATTGTAACACCCGGTCTCAGGTACGCAGTTAAATTCAAGCCAAACTTCACATTTTACCCTTGGACTCGGCGAGTTGGAGGCCCAACTCGTCGAGTAGGATCGACTCCGGTTCGGGGGACTAAGTGGCCTACTCGACGAGTCGGAAGACCGACTCGGCGAGTAGGAGCTGTCCGAGTAAAACCCTAAATTGGAGGGTTTGCACCCTATTTAAACAACTTATGAGGCTTCCACCCCAGTGTTAGGCGTGTCAGACCCAACAAATAAAGGGGTACGATATACTCCAAAAGAATCCCACTATATTGCACTAAAAGGTAGTACAAGGCAAGCAGGGTCGATCCACAGAGACACGGGATAATTAGTCTATACCTCTTTGCGCAAGGTACTATGGTCACCAACAGATTAAGAGGGGGGTTTTGAATGCAATGATTAAACAAACAAATTTAAAACACGAGTAAACAACTAAACGAATGAATTAAGTTCAGATTTTTGTAAGGACTCCAACTTCATGTATGACAATCCAGCAATGCGAATCAAAGATGACAAGACATTTGTTTCATTCTATCTAAGTTGGTACTTGAAAGTGTTAACAAGCTCTAACACTTTCCATTCACCACATTAATCAATCAAAACAAGCTCTTTGATTAATCCTAACCTTGCCAACCTAATCTAAACAAGCTCTTAGAATTAGATTAAAAGATTGCATTAAGCTTATTGTGAATGTTCCCAACAACACCCAATACTCCTCACAAGCTCGGGAGCGTAAGAATGTGTGAAAAGATTTACACTAAATTCATTCATAAGAAATTAATTTAATGCTTGTTGCTTAGTTCAATTCACAAAACAATTACGGATTTTGCAAAATGAATAACTTGAATGACCTAACCCTAATTCAAATGGCCAATAAGAATCATTATTAGAATCAAACATTCGATTGAAATAAAATCAGTTTCACTAGATAGAAATTAAACACAAACATCAGGTCATATGATTTGATTCACAACCAAAAAGTCAAAACATGAAATTGGAGAAGTTAGGGTTCTAGCCACACATGGCTAGAACAAGATTAACAAGTTTAAAAGATGAAATTAAGTGCTAAAGTGCTTACAAAGAAGAAATTAAAATGTTTCCCAATGATTAACGGACAAACCCTTGCTAAAACCCTTGAATTCTCCTCTCCAAAAGTGCTCTGGTATCTTCTGTGTGTGTAAAAAATGACCCAATTCCCGTGATATGAAAAATAGGAAAAACTGTCAAAAGGCAGTTTTTGGGTCGAACACGGCCCATGTTAAAATAGGCTAAACTGACACGGGTCGTGTTCAGCATGGTCAACAGCTTCTTCTTGGTCAAACACGCCCCGTGCTCACTTTTCAGTGTAAATCGAACACGCCCCGTGTACCCCTCTGACTCCGAATCCAAACTTGATTTTTCCAACTTTTTCGTTCTTCGCCCGATCATCCCGAAATCTTCACCAATGCTTCCCGGCACCTCCCAAAGCGCATTCCAAGCTCCGGTTTACCTGAAAAAGACATGAAAGTGTGCAAATAAGGTTGTTCTAGAGACTAACATGAATATGATGAAATGCAAGAAAAAGGAAGAACAATTATGCTAAATAGATGCATGAAATGGGACTAAAATATGTGCAAAAAGGTGCACAAATTGCACCTAACACCCAGCCTCCATCACCCTCAAGTCTTGTCCTCGAAACCCTAATCAGTTGTGAGCATCTTTAAGCTATATTGTGCCTTTGCATCTTGATTTGAAGCTAGGAGAAAGGAGGGAAGCTTGGTGAATCAAGGAGCAAGTCAGTGGATTCTGAGTTTGGTTGCATTTCCAGTGTATTTGAGGTAAATAGCCCCTATCTTGACCTCCTATGTGTTAGATCTAATTTGGGGTTTGAACCTTGTCATCTTTGAGGGCATTTCCATGTCATTTCGGACTTTAGGGTGTAATGTAGGGTAGAAGCTTCAAATCTGGATCCTTGGAGGGTCCTCATGGCATAAAGGTGTCATCTCTATGGCCATGAGAACCTCATGCATGTAATAAACCCCATTTTTGGTCCTTTAAGCTTAAAAGTCCCATGCATGCACGTAAAGTTCATGACTTTATGTGTTATATCGGCTTTAGGAGCCCAGATCTACCTTTTGGATGAGCTTTGCACAACAGAAATCGAGTTATGGGCTTGGACATAAGTAGACTTGGCGAGTCTCTTTTGGGACTCGGTGCGTCGGGGGGTTTGGTTCTCCAATCTTCTATGTTTTGAAGGGATCTAGTTAATTTTAGAAGGGATCTAAATGAGTCCAGAAGAAGGACTCAACGAAATAGACGTAGTTATGGACCTGGAAACCATGGGACTCGGCGAGTGGATGAACACACTCGGCGAGTCCAAGGCAATCCCCAACCCATGAAGACGGACACGACGAGTTGTTCATACAACTCGGCGAGTCACAGACTAGTCACACTCTTATGGTGAAGATGAACTCGATGAGTTCAAGGATGAACTCGGCGAGCCAGATGAGGATAGTCCCGACGCTAGGTTTGAAGGAGAACTCGTTGAGTTCTTGCTAGACTCGACGAGTAGAGTCGGGGTTGGGAACAGATGAAAAAATATGGACTCGACGAGTTGGTGAATCAACTCGGCGAGTCAGGTCAACTGGGTGTGGAGTTTGACCAGTATGTTGACTTTAGCCAGGGGTAAAATGGTCATTTTACCCTAAGAGCAATTATCAGTTTTTGACTAAGTACCTTTATGGAAATTATAGTCGGAGAGTCGCTGGAGCAGCAGACAGAGATTCCTCACCCAGAGTTACAACAGTCAGTCATACGAGGTGAGTTTCCCTCCAGTAGGAACGAGTCTACGACCACAATGCGGACCCGTTTAGATGATAGTAGTTCCGGTCTTCAGTCCGATGTCGGGGTGGTCCCGAGAAGTAGTTATGTATGTTTGATGTCTTCGTGATTCATGCATGTTATGATATGTGATATATGTTCCGGACTCCGGTCCGATGCCGGGCAAGCGGGATGCAGTATATGTGATTATGTTATATGTTATGTTTATGTTATGTTCAGCTTATACCGGACTTCGGTCCGATGCCGGGCGGGGACCAAGTTATTCCGGACTTCGATCCGATGCCGGGCGGGGCCCGATGCAGTGGGCGGGGCCCAATTTATGCCGGACTTCGGTCCGATGTCGGGCGGGGCCCGATGCAGTGGGCAAGGCCCAGTATGTGTTATATGTGTTATTGTATGGTATGTGGTAGTTTGGGGGAGCTAACTAAGCTTCGTGCTTACAGTTTTCAGTTTTGGTTTCAGGTACTTCCAATAACAAAGGAAAGGGCTCGGGTTGATCGCATGGCACACACCACAGTCACAGCCTGGGAGTTTACTCTGATGATTTGTTATGAGATCTTGATTTGAGATAGACACTATGATGTTTTATGATACATGAATTATGATTTTACTTATGACTTAAATGGTTTATGATTTGAAAACAAAACAAACTTTGGGTCATATTTTTGGGATTTTTCACACTAAGCATTAGCTTACAGTTTATGGATTTGTTTCAGGTACTTCTGAGCCCAAGGGCAAGAGCAAGACTTGATGGCGCGGCGTGCACTCTCTCAGGCAATTTCATGAGACACTCTGATGTTTTGAAATAAAATTGTAATTGATATGAGTTTTGAAAACAATTGTATTTGGATTTCGTGGTTTATGGAAATGTGTTTTAGCTAATCAAAAATGAAAATTTTCTTTTGAAAAATTGGGTCGTTACAACGATCTCCAACTCGAGCTATCATGTTCTTTGTCTCGAACAACAATTGTGTTTATGATAATGTTAGTGTTATGTACCTTGCATCTAACCCGATTCATTATCAAAGAACCAAACATGTGGAAATAGATTTACATTTGGTTAGGGACCGTATTGCAGTTGGACGTGCACGTGTTTTGCATGTTTCGTCCGCTCATCAGTTTGCCGGCATATTTACTAAGAGACTAACTATGTAGTTATTTTCAGGTTTTTAGAGCAATTTAAACGTACGAGAACTTGCACCTCAAATTGAGGGGTGTGTTAAACATTATGTTATTTGTTTATGTTGTATGTTTTATATAGTATTGTCCTTTATGTAAATTAATTTTATCATTGTATTATTTTATACTAAGACAATACATCGTTAACCCTAACGAGTATTTTCACAAACCTGTTATAAATAAACAAGTTTCATTCAAATGAGAAATCATACATCTATAAAATTTGTAAACTTAACATAACGACTATCTTAAAACAATCCATCAAACACATTACTTGCATGTCTTTATATCTAAAAATCAAGAACTAAGTGAAAAAAATAATGGTCATATAACTACCGACCAAATTATGAGATGCACCATAACATACATAACCAATACTATTTCATACATAATCTATTTGATAAGATACATTCAATGAAACTCACTTCATTAGTCAAAGGGTTTTACCCCCATTTAATTTCAAAAGAAAATAATAAAGAGAGAAATCACATTAATTTATTACAATATAGTTTTCTATTTATAGAAAATATGCATATAGTGTAATATATATCGACTAATTTTCATATAGTTAATTTTGGGTGCACATTCCTCTTCCCTTCATTACATGCCTCCTTAGCCCCGGAATATGAATATTTGAGATGTAATCTCTCCAATCTATTTTCCCCACATCAAATCCAAATGTTCTCTTTTCTTCTTCAGACATCATTCCCATTAATTTTTGAGTGTTGCTATTGTCAAACCTACAAAAAAGATTAAAACTTTCCTTCAAAAAGTTTTAAACTTTCATCTTTTTCAAAACAATCAAGTGATCTATGTATGCATATATAAATCTTGATCCATGCTCTTAGGAATAGAGAGAAAACATTGGCTTGATTTGGCCTTAAAAAGACCAAATTGTCCTAAAGTATAAACACCAAACATTGACTATTTTAGGGTTGAAATTTTTAGGGTTTAAAATCTTTAGCCTGTTTAATTAAACGAATCCAACTGTAAGCTCTATGATGCATGGACTCAAAGTGTTAAAAGACAATATTATAGGGTATAAAAGTGTAAATTCATGAATATTGAAATATGATGTTACCTTCCACCATAAAACGTGTAGGGTTCATAAATATTGGCCAAATACTTTGCTTGCTCCACTGATTTTCTGCAAATATTTTCAAGTTTATGTGAATACTTCCCTTTATTTATTCCACTCGAATTATTCAATCCGCTTCTATTAATCGCATCTTTCCAAAGATGAGCTGAAAAATCTTCCATGGATCGATAAAGTTGCATGATAGGTACATGAACAGGCCTCCCTTTTAAATCCAAACATGGTGAAGAATTAAAGTGTTCATAAAGTAGTCTTGCCAAATCTTTAAACACCAATGGGTTCACTGCTGATGAAGCTATTTGATATATGTAATTCTCTTCCATTTTGCCACCTGTCACGTGTTTTGCCATGGCTGCCATTGTTGCATTCACCACCATATCAGCTGGAACCTGAAAATATTTTGTGGGTTTTGTAAATCTTGAAATAAAAATTAAAGCTTTTTAGTAATTTATGACATCATCAAGAAAAGAACTTACCACATCAAGAACGCCATTTGGGTCAACAAGAAATCCACTAAGTTGTCCCTTTCCGTAGTAAAGTACAATTGGATCCATCATCCTTCAAATAAGAGAGAAAAAGCAAAAAACTTGAATTTGATCAACATAGATGAGACTGTGTCTGGCTGATGTGGGACCCATACAGATACGAATATATTTGTGTCTAGTTGATGTGAGACTGTTTCTAGCTTATGTGAGACACAATTGATAGAGGTAGATGAGACTGTGTCTAGCTGATGTGAAACCCATACAGATACACATATATTTGTGTCTAGCTAATGTGGGACTGTGTCTAGTTGATGTGAAACACAATTGATAGAGTCAGATGAGACTGTGTCTAGCTGATGCGGTACATATATGCATATATTCGTGTCTAGTTGATGTGAGACACAACTGATAGAGGCAGATGAGACTATGTCTAGCTGATGTGGGACACATCTGAAAGAGGTATGATGGTACTATGTCCTGTGTCTAGTTGATGTGAGACACATACAGATAAACATATATTTAAAAAAAAAAATTAAAATTTGTACCTATTTCCTTCCATCCACCCGGGAAAAGGTTCTTTGTAAGTACTTTCAATGACACTAGGCCGAATTATAACAACGGGTATGTCACCTCTCATTTTATCAATCATCATTTCTCCCATTGCTTTAGTGAAAACATATGTATCTTGCCACCCGTATAGATTTGCCCTAATTAAACCATAAAATTGAACAAAAAAGGTGTCATTTTTATTCAATTTATTTCAAAAAGACAAATAGTAGGTTCGAATCCATTGTACCTTTCTAAACCAAGCTCTTTCAGCTTTTGAGATGCTGCATTTTCTCCTAAAGATTTCTTTGATTCCAAAACCAATTTTATTTCATCTTCTACATTCAAATTTGGAATTGATATTAATTCTTGATCCTCATAAATTAGGCTCTCCCTTGCTATACTATCACCCGCATTAAATGGCCTTTCCATGATTCTTCCTTGCCTTTGTCCATTAACATACGCTACAAGCAAAACAAAAAAGGTCAAACTTTTTATAAATTAAAAAGGGGTAAATTTAATAATTTATTTATTTACTTTACCTGTGGAAATTTGAAGAAAGAGGTTAAGTTTCTTGCACTTCTTTGCAAAACTCATAAGGCGACTAGGTCCTCTAGTGTTTATATCAAGAGCCACATCATATCTGCAATTCCATTTGACTTTTTCAGTGAATCTTTATTCTTTACACTTCTTTTTTGTTAATTATTTGGTTAATTAATTAACCCACCTTTCATCAAAAGTAGTATTCGCTGCTGAATTTACAATTATGTCAACATCTTTGGCTATAACATCTGCTGTATCTTCATCTAACCCAAGATTAGATTCACAAACATTTCCAATTACAGGAATCAGCTTACTTAACATGAAAGATTGATATGATTTCCCATAAGCTTGTTGAAGAGACTTGAAAAGTTCGGTATTTATTATCTGTAATGCAATCCTAAATTAAATTTAATTATGCTACTTAATGATAAAAAAGAATAGATCATAGGAGAATTATATTTTCCAGAAGAAGAGAAAAAAAAAAAAAAAAAAAAAGACTGCATACTTCGTTTTTTAATCTTTCCATGGCAGAATCCATGTCTTTTGCCTTGATTAAGAGATATATCTTTCCCACATCAGGCACTGTGCGTAGTATCTTCTCTATAAATACTAGAGATTTTTATATAATAAAAAAAGAAAACAAATTAAAGAGTTAGAAAAAGGTGAAGAATATGATAGAAAAAAGGTGAAAAAGTATAAGTACCTTTCCCCAAGAAACCAGTAGCACCAGTAACAAAGAAGGCTTTCCCTTTGAGTATATTCACAATCCCAATCCCATTTTGTGCACCATTGTAAACGTTACCATTTGGAGGCAAAACGGATCTTCCGGTATCCAAGAGAGCTGTTCCAGGATCCGCATTCACCAAAACGGATCTTTTTGTGAAAGATGATGAAACAGATACTGACACCCCGTTGGTTTTAATGACGTTTCCTTCACTTTGGCAATTCATCAAACAGTTGGCGTTCTTCTTTGACAAGCATGGGGGGTAATAATTCTTGTCATTACTCAACAAAGTGACAGCCCCTTTCTTCGAAATGACGATGGAAGAACCAAGAGACATAGTCCCCATCATTTTCAAGAGAAATCTAAATGGCTTCCAGAAGAAAAAATGCGAAACCAAAATCACACAAGGGATAATTTGCAGTTAGGAGGATGTTGGTTGTAAAGTTGGAAAGTCTTCTTCTTAGCTAATTACCTCCTATAATAATAAAAGTTGGATAACTGTAATTCAATTAAAATTAAAGGGAAAAGCGCATAACTTTAAAAAAAGAAAGAAACAGATAGAGATAGAGATAGAGATAGGAATGGAAAATAAGATATGGGTTTGGTTGATTAATTTAAAGACAGATGGGTGAAAAGAGGTTTTTAAAAGAAGGAGATGAAGGTTAGGAGGATGAAGCTAAAGGCTCCCTTTTTGCCAACGGCTAAGATGGCGGGAAGTAGTTAGTTTTCTTCTGTGATTTGATTATGGAATTGAGGTTCTGAAATTCTTTAAATATTCATATGGAGAAAGGGCGTGGGATTTTGCTAAACTAAATATAGACCAAATTTTGACTTTTTCTTTTCTTTTGACTTTTTCTTTTCTTTCAAAAATCAAAACCTAAAAAAGATGAGTATCTTTAGGTAACATGTTATTCAACGCCTTTTTGGGGATTTGGGATTTTCCTCCACACATCCATCACTATTTATATTACAAGTAGCATGTGTACTTTTTTTATATGTAATAATAATTTATTTATATGAAGTGATATATACCCGGTTTAAAAAATAAAAAGGTAAAGTATATGATTTGAGTGGTGAATATTAATTTGTTTCAAGACAAGACTTGCATGAGGTTAATTGCATAACAAAAACAATATTTTAGGTATCTCAGATTTTAAGGTTGAAAGGTATGTAGCGGAAAGAGGTGTATGAGAACCGGAACTGCGGTCGGAACGCTACACCGCCATCGCGGTTTAGAGGTGCAGAGAACGGGTGGGAGGCTACTCCGTGCTCTCCTTTTTTGTGATTGGTCAACTTTTTTTTTTTTTTTCAGTTTTTTAATATTTATTAAATTATATATAGTAAAAAGTTATAAAAAAATATATTAAAATTCATAGTTTTTAATTTTCTATAAAACGAGTATAATATTTGTATAAATTAAATATTTTAAAAAATAAAATAAAATAATTAAAGGTAATAAAATGTGAAAATTTCCTGCATTTTGGTAAATGAGTAGAAAACTGACGTGACAATGAAAAAGTGAATGGGAAAAGATGAGTATACCCTTCAGTCTAATCTTAAACATTATATGTAGAATTTCACTCATCAACCACTAGACTTTCCATAGATAAATCATAAGCATTTTAGAGTTTTAAGTGAGTATATATTTACTTTCATCCATAAGTATTTTATATACATGTTATATTTACAAGATAGATAGAAATATCAAAGTTATTTATTTATTTATTTAAGTAGGAGTCAAGATAAGACGGTATCTATATATCTCTAAATATTATTAAAAGATAACTTTTAATTCTAAATCGAAGAAATCAGGGTCATTGATTGCAGTTCAATCCTATATTTTTCACCATTGGATTATTTGCTGATATCATTTTTGTCAATCCCTTTATTTTTGTCCACAAATTTTATAAAACATATATTGCGTTTTAAATTAGGAAATGTATTAATGACAATCAAATCTCATCAAAAATAAAATGAATTAAATTAGGAATTCTATTAATAACAATTAAATCTCACCAAAAATAAAATGAATTAAATTAGGAATTTTATTAATGACAATTAAATATTACCAAAAATAAAATGAAAAAATGTCCCGTCCAATCCCTCATTACTAGTACCCCTACCCTCTCTCCCTTTTTTCTTTACATAATTTATCTAATCTAAATTTTGTAGTGGGAAAGAAAATAGGGGAAAGAAGAAATAAAATATATGTGGGCTTCGATGTGTAGATCAGTCTTGTATTCAATCATCATGAATTGTATTTGATCATCATGAAAGGAGGAATGATATAGAGATAAATTTCTTTGGATTCTACTTTAATTTGATCGTAGTTTAGATCGATTTTGGGTACGTTTTAGATTATGTTTCTTTTATCTCTAAATATTATTAAAAATGAACCTATAATTCTAAATTGAAGAAATCAGAGTCATTTATTGCATTTCAATCATATATTTTCCACCATTAGATTATTTGCTGACATCATCTTTGTCAACCCCTTTATTTTTGTCCACAAATTTTATAAAACATATATTACGTTTTAAATTAGGAAGTCTATTAATGACAATTAAATCTCACCAAAAATAAAATGAATTAAATTAGGAATTCTATTAATGACAATTAAATCTCACCAAAAATAAAATGAAAAAAATGTCTCACCCGATTCCTCATTACCAGTACCCCTACCCTCTCTCCCTTTTTTCTTTACATAATTTATCTAACCCAAGTTTTGTAGTGGGAAAGAAAATGGGGGAAAGAAGAAATAAAATATATATGGGCTTCGATCTGTGTAGATTAGTCTTGTATTCGATCATCACGAAAGAATGAGGAATGATATAGAGATAAATTTATTTGGATTCTAATTTAATTTGATCGTGGTTTAGATTGATTTTGGGTACATTTTAGATTATGTTTCTTTTATTATGTTTCAACTACGAAGTTCCAATCTATAAAACTTTTCGATTTAAGTTTAAATCCATAATGGTTATATTTTCTGAATCTGCTTCGATTTTTGTTCTTATGATATGTATTGTTGATTTTGATTTTTTGAGTTATAGATATTTGGAGAGCAAAAGGATGGACACAGCAACACCGCTACCTCTCATCCATTGTTTCGATTTGGAAGATATGTCCACTAGGTAGTGAATTTGTATATGTTGATTTTCTTTTTTATTTTTACATTTTTGTATATGCATTTAGTCAATGATTTTTTTGTGGCTTACCAAGTCATGAATGGAAGATATACTTGACTCAATATCTATAATGCTTTACCCATTCGATCCCTTCCTGGATTTGGAGATGAAATTTAAACCCTTATACCAGTAAGTGATCCACATATTCTACAACTCAGCAAAACCCAGTGGTGATATGTGTTTTGATTTATTGTAAAAAACATCTTTTAAAGATACAAATTGGGATCTCAGAAATAAGTTATTCACCTATCCTTTTTTAATATTATAAAAAAACATATTTTAGACTCAATAGCAAAGAAAAGACAAAGTTTTAGTATACCATGTAAATAGATTACATCGATAAATCTTATTGGAAAATGTTTGGGATTGATTAATTTTGGTTAATTAGCAAGTTTTTTTGGTTAACTTGTGTTGTCTGGGCATGCCGAGAAGCATAGTAAGAACCTTTCACAACCTTATTCTTTCGTTTAACTGGTTTGAATCTTCTTATTAAGTTTACTTTCTCAAGGATAAATGGGTACACCATACACTCTTGAAAATAGGGTTGGGAACAGTGTGGGAACATTAAGTTTACTTTCTCAAGGATAAATGGGTACACCTAATGTTCTTAATTTATTGTAATAAGGTCTTCCTGTAATAGTTGATTGGCCCTACCCAACTATCTCATGCAAGGTAATGGATTTATGTTGTTCTAAATGTGTTAAAATGCTTCACTTAGGTGTTACTCAGCACATGGTCTGCTGACTATCCACATTGATTTCATGATTGAGAAGAACACATCACATCGACCAAGATCAGACCATCAACCATATTAGTGACCTCCACTGAGATTAGCAATGTAATTTGAGTAATCATCCAAAAAGGCAATGAACTTTGAATTGTATTAAATCTAAAATCAATTCCTAAATTGTACATCAAACTTCTAACATTAAACCTTGAACATTTTCATTTAATGTTATCGAGTTGATATGCATTTGATTATTTAGGTATATCGTAAATTGTTTAGCTTCCCCTATTGAATTATGACGTAAATGTAAAGTTTTACGTTTAACCGTAAACATGAGGCTTTAGTTTGGTTGTCTAACTAATGATTTGGATGAGACAAAAGCATTTGATGAGTGGATTCTTAAAATTAGTGAAGGTAATATTGGTGGCCCTAATGATGGTGAAGTTGAAGTTGAATTTCCAGAAGACGTTGTTCGCTCTACAGGTGACCATATTCATTCAATTGTATCCACCATTTATCCATCATTTGAAAACCATCTTAATGATCCATCATATTTTCAAGATAAAGCTATTTTGGTACCTACAAATGAATAATTTGATGCTACCAATGACTACATTTTAGGATTGATGAAAGATGAAGGGAAAACATATATGAGTTCAAATTTTTATGTGAGATAGAGTTACCAGATTTTTTTGAGGAACCAATCTACTCTTCAGTTATGTTGAATGGTTTTAAGGCATCTAGAATTTCCAACTATAAACTTACACTAAAAATAGGTGTTCCAGTCATGTTACTTCGTAATATCGAGCAAACCAAAGGACTATGCAATGGCACTAGATTACATATTGTTAGGATTGGAAGATACGTCATTGAAGCCTGAATCATATATGCTAGATTCTTTAATGAGACTACTTATATACCTTGCAGAAAATTAACTCCGTCTAATAAAAGAATCTCATTCCGCTTTTAGCGGAAGCAATTCCCCATAGTTGTTTATTTTGTTATAACCATTAACAAAAGTCAATGACAATAATTATCAAATGTTGGATTATACTTGTGTATGTCCGTCTTCACTCATTGTCAGATATATGTTTTTTGTTTCTCACGTCACAAGTGAAAAATGATTGAAGTTACTCATATATGACGAGGAAGGTCATCCAACCAATAAAACAAAAAGTTATGTCTACAAATAGATCCTTCAACGATTATAAATATTTAGGTGTTTCATTGTTTTTTTTCCAGACATTTCAATGTTACCAATAATGCTAAGTTTGTTTCTGTTATAGTGCCAATTTTTTTTATACCTTTATATGTAAATTTTTATATGTTCCCCGCGTTTTACGCGGGTCATAATCTAGTTTTTAGTGAAACTAAAATACATCTTCGATTTTTAAAAAATAACTATCCAATTTCTTTAAGTTGCCAAAAACCAAAATTCTTACGTGACAAGATAACAAACATTTTTATTTTTAATATTTTAATTTTATATTTTTATTCAAATTTTCATTGCTAGCCCAAAGTTTAAATGTTATTACGAATTTGTTCCGAACTTTAAATTCCGTTACGAATGTTCTGTTGGTTCTATTTGTCCAAGAATCAGTATTGAATGATGTTTGCTAATAATATATGATCCTATAGGGTCACATCTTTATCAAGTTCGTACTTATTGAATATATATTTAAGTATTTGATGATTAATAAATAAATTCAACTCTTGTATTTAATTAGAGAAAAATTATTGTTTTATGAAAATAATAATAAATGAAAGACTAACTAGCTTATATATATATATATATATATATATATATATATATATATATATATATATATATATATATCATATGGTATGATATATAAGTCATGTACAAAGTTTTGGACACTTTCACCAAAGTATAACAAACTAGCTAGTTAATTAAGTGACTAAACAACAAACTAGCAAATCCATTGGACCATCTTGAGTCCTTATAACCGTGGGATATCAAGGCTAGGAGGTTGAAAGTCAACTTCCAACATTCTTGTCCCC